ATGCCCACCCACTCCCTGCTTCTTATCATAATTAAAAGGAATGCCTGGATATCATGTATTTCATCCTTAAATCCCTCAATATGTTTCCCCAAAATATAAGAACTATTTAAAAAATAGTCACAGTGTATTATCATGCCTTAAACATTAGCAATAATTTTTAATGTCATCAAATATGCAATCACTGTCCATGTTTCTAATTGTATAAATGACATAAATTATATTTTACAGTTTGTTTAAATCCAAATCTGTTTAAGGTCCACAAATTGTTTTTAGCTTGTTAATTTTATTTTAATGTGTATTCTCTTTAATGAGAAGAAATGTAAACAATTTATAAGGTCAAATCTGTTCATCTCTTTCTTTATAACTGGCAATTTTTATTTAAGGCACACCTCTCGACAAGTCATTCAGTAAGAAACATCTCAAGGTTTATGTGGGAAAAGTATCTGATACAGTGAATTTTAGATCCAACTTAGAATGACATGGCTCAGGACCTACCTCCACTCTAGCTGCAGCCAAGAGCCACCAGATGGGCTTCATCCTGCCACGTCCATTGTAGTAGTGAAGCATGGGTTTCCCAGCCATGGTAGCAGCCTCCTGGTGTCTCTAAGCAAGAATGATTCAATGAATGAATGGATAGTGGATGGATGGATGGATGAATGAGTGAAAACAGAATAAAAAATGTACTCAGGATGTATGGTTGAACACTACTGACACTGAATAAGTATCTGACTTCTTCATGACAGTGTTGGAGGAGTTTCTGCAATATTTTCTTGGCCCAAGTTGATACCAGTCAGCAGCCACACTCAGAGTGCACAACACCAGTCTCAAGCCCTCATTGGGCAAAGCATGACTATTATTGGCAGGATAATAGGATGGGAGTATGTGGTCACAATGCCTGTATATGAGTTCATGGGAAGAGGAAGAATTTGAGAACTAATATTTACCAAAAACCTCCTAATGTTCCCACCCCAATGCTAGTCCCTTTCAATATATGTCTTTAATCCTAATAACAGCCCCATGAAATAGTTATTATTGGCTTTATTTTGCAGTTAATGAAAGCAAATTTCAGAGAGGTTAAATACCATGTCCACAGCCACATTCTAGTTCTTGATGAACATGAAAACCCACACTCAGGACTAAACAGAAGGCAGGCCTGGAACCCACACAGGTGAAGGCCCTGGGAACCTGTGAGGTGGCCTTAAAACCAGAGGATGTCACTGACTGGAAGGACCAGGAGGGAGCAAATTCACTCTTCAGCTCTTTGGCAGTGAGGCTGTATTTGATCCAGAGCAGAAACTAGACCTTAGACTTGCTTAACTACAGCTCAGAAGATCCAAATCCTTTCCACAGACAGAGGAGGCTAATTTCTTGCAACACTTTGAATTTTATATTCTACCTCTACTGGGGACATTTTGTTTTGCATTCTAGAAAAAGAAATATTATTGCATTAACACTGTAGGCTATGGAAGGAGCTAGCTTTTGTTCACTGTCAGTCACACACTGGACATCCTCACAAATCGATCTCCATTTTGTCCTACAAACATCACCTAAGGTGAATCCTGTGATAAGTCTGATTTTCCAGTTGGGGGTACTGAGGTTTTGGGAATAACTTACCCAAAGTTAAGTTAGACCTAAGATTCAAACACACTGCTTTTGAAAAATAAGCCTGGGCTTTATTCTCTATGTTAGTTTTTTTCAAAATAGGCATGATAAGCTTCAGCAGATTTTGAAGTCTAATTTTTTAACAAAATGGAAAAAGAATAGAAAAGATCAGAGTGCATTACATGCGGAAAGGGTAAGTAATGTCTCTTGAGTTTCCAGTGTCAGTTCTTCCAGTGTCAGGCTTCTTCCAGTGTCTATGTGTGTGTGTGTTTGTGTGTGTGTGTGTGTGTATGTGTGTGTGTGTGTGTGTGTGTGTGGTCTCTTAGGGAACTGAGACTGCTGAGTGGTTGGGAAATTGAACCACAGAAGTATTGAGATTGTCTCTGCATCGAGTCAATTTTTGGATGGGGTTCACAGGTCACTGGTCTAATTGGCGTCAAATGATCTGCCAAAATGAAGAATCTGTACATCTCTAACACCAGCCCTAGGTTTGTGTTATGTATAGGAGCAATTGAAGACGTTACAAACCTGGTGGACAAAGGATGCAGGAGGGAGAAACCCTAGTGATCAAAGTTACTCACGCCCTTTAGCCGATTACACTTCAGGATGCCATCAAGGAGATCCCAGGGCTCATGGGTTAAGAAAGTTTAGGATCATTGTTTAAGGGAAAATATGTTTCCTGACCTCGCAGGCAGCTTCCTCCTCCCCAGGACAGGAAGATAATCAATTATTATCTATTGAACGTGTCTATGCGCACTAACAGACTCGGTCATTTCTTTCTCTTTTTTTTTTGAGTTGGAGTCTCACTCGGTCACCCAGACTGGAGTGCAGTGGCCGCTTCCGGCCACCGCAGCCTCGCTTGCTAGGCTCCAGCGATCCTTCTGCCTCAGCCTTCCGAGTTCCCGGAATTACAGGCATGCGCTACCACGCCTGGCTGATTTTTTGATTTATTGTAGAGATGAGGTCTCACCAAGTTGCCCAGGTGGGTCTTGAACCCGCGGGCTCAGGCAATCCACTCACCTCAGCCTCCCAAAGGCACGGGATGACAGGCTGAGCCACCAAGTCCAGCTAGACTCGGTCAGTTCTAACCATAGCTGCACCTTTGCAGAATGTCTCTTCCACAGTTTTTACACATGTCTCTTAGACCATTTTACCCACACCTTGACTTCAGACTCCTGGCCTTCAGAAATGTGAGCGAGTACATTTCTGTGGTTTCAACCTCCCTGGGTTTGTAGTCATCTGCCACAGAAGCCACGAGAAGCGAATCTACACGCCTGCCTATTCCTCACTACTACAGGATTATTTTGAAGCAAATGCCATGTCATTTCATCTAAAAATAATAGTAGTTATCTTTAGAAAGTAAGGACTTCTTTTCTAAACATAATCACACTAATCTCTTATCACATGAACATGTTATAATTCCTTAACTTCATCAAATATTCAGTATTCTAATTCATCAAAGTGTGCCATGAGGGTTTCTTCGCCGTTGGTTGATTTTTGCCAACATCCAAGCAAGGCCCATCTGTAGCTCTTGAGATATGAAATATATTCTGTGGAAATGATACCTGGACACAGAAAAAGGCACAGTGTGTGAAGACTGTGAGTCTTCAAAGTCCAGTCATATCCCTCGGTCCCCAAGCTGCACCCAGAGCTGTGCAGGTGTAACTATCCCTTGGTGATGAAGCCCTGGGGTCCCAACAGGCCTGGCCCCAAAACATGAGCTCACAGGGCAGTGAAGTGACACTGTGGCCCTCAGGTGTTATTAGAGGTTCACAGGGGCTCTGTGGAAGTCCCAAAGGAGAGGTCAGCAGTCCTGGGAAGTAATGAGGAGGGCATTCAGGGTGGTCAGGTGGGGAGGAGGTGGTCAGACAGGGCTAGCAAATGTGCCCAGGCAGGAAGGCAAGAGACCCGCCATGCTCTTGACTGGGCTGGAGGTCAAGGAGTGAGCAGGAGGGGTGAGGACACATTCTTAATGCCAGGGGGAATGAATTTACAGACAGGTGGTGATACTCAGATTTGCCTTTTAGAAGAACCACTCTGGTTCTAAGTGCAGAAGAGCCTAGGGTGGGGAGGCAGCCGGGAGCCCCGAGTACCTGTTGCTCCCTTACCCACTCCAAATGTGGGAGCTCACTCTGGAGAAGGAGAACTCAGCATGCCAAAGTCTGGGTGTCCTGGGAGAAAGAACATTACAAGCCCCGTATATGGCTGAAGGTGGGAATTGCTCCTTATCCAAGCCCTCTGGCATGGTGACAGGCCAGGGAAAGCATGATCTTACATGTAGTTCTTTCTTTTTTTTTCTTTTGAGTTGGGGTCTCACTCTGTCTTCCGGGCTGGAGTGTAGTGACATGACCATGGCTCATAGCAGCCTCAACCTTCTGGGCTCAGGCAACCGTCCTATCTCAGTCTCCAAAGTAGCGGGGATTGCAGGTGTATGCCACCAAGACTGGCTAATTTTTGATTTTTTGTATAGATAAGGTCTGGCTATGTTGCCCAGGTTGGTCTCAAACTCCTGGGCTCAAACAATCCTCCCATCTCAGCCTCCCAAAGTACTGGGGTTAAGGTGTGAGCCACCACACCCAGCCAGATGTAGTTATTTCAATGTAGTTCACATGCATAGTCTGTATCTTGGGAGCCCAGGCCTGAGCATCAGGAGAGAACTGAGAGTGGGGCTCAAGCCGGGGTCCCACAGAGCAAGGAGGAGCAGACAGAGGATGTGCCTGGTATGTGCTGTGAGGGACAGCAGGGCCACTCAGGAAAAGAGGGCAGGACTGCTTTGTTCTTTACTATGTCTTCACTTTCTAGACACTGTAAAGTACAAGTAGACATAACAGCTCTTTGAAAATGCATAAGAAAGAATGTTTTTATGATAATAAATAGCTCTTAAAGAAAAGGACATTTCATCATGACTTTCCCCAGATGGGTAACTCTTTTCCTGTACAAATCTGAGGATGTCAGAGATGATTTCTATACTTGACACTTTGAACATGATCAATGTTAGAGGACAGTTCTTGAAAATGTCAATCAAGGTACATCATCCACATTTTCATTTAAATTAAAATTTTAATTCCAAAAAGAAGCAGCATAGGGGGAGATTTGAAATCTGATTTCCTATCAGATCCTAACAAACAGAAAAAAATTTTTTCAAAAAGAAAAAAAAAAAATCAGAATGTGATAGCATGTGGCTGTAGTCATAACAACTAGGGAAACTGAGGCAGAAGGCTCAGGAAGGCTCAGCTGCGGTGAGCTGAGATTGTGCCACTGCACTCCAACCACAGAGCGAGACCCAGACTCAATACAAGAAAAGAAATGAAATGAATTTTACCTAAGTCTGCTCATTAGGGTTTGATTGTTTATCGTATAATTTGAAAAAGTTCATTAGCTTCACAATAGCCACAACCAACATTTAGGGAGCACTTCATTGCTGCAAATCCTTAAAGATTGATCTTGCATGAACTTGGCCTCCATGTCTGCTTTATTAAAACTTGAAAATCTTCTTTGCTTCTTCTAACTTTTTCGCATCTATAGGAGGCTTCCGCTGGCTGCCAGGCTGCAGAAATTTCTTCACAGCAGGGAGGTTGCTGATTCTGGTTTTCAGGGCCTGCAATTGACAAATCACAGGCTCAAAGTGGAGCCAAGACTGATGCCACCATGAACCCAACCCAGGAAATCTGAGCCCCTCCCACAAAAGACCAACTGAGACCCCTCCATCAGCACCCATGTGGAGGCTGGAAACTGGGTCACCTTCAGCAGAGGAAAGTTGGCGATGAGGCTGGGGTCAACCTCCTCCACCTCATAGAGAAGTTCAACCAGCTGAATGTCAGCGCGGCTCAGCCTGTTGCCAACAAGGTAGTCTTGGCCATGGCTCTTTAAGACCTGCAGGATTTGAGGAGTCAGATTATGAACACAGGCATAGTCAAGCTGGGTCCTGCTTCCCCCTGAGCCTCTCCAACCTGACTCTCCCACCACTGTGGCAGGACCAGAGATCCAGACTTTTTTCTACAGTCCAATTCATTGAGAAAGGGCAAAAGTCATTCTGCTCACTTCTCAGCAAAGCCCAGGCTGCCATTTTCTCTTTCATTCCATGCCACTGTGCTTTCCACACCACCCACCCAACTTGCATCTTCCACGGGCCAGGGGACCCGTGGCAGCATATTTCTGTCTGCCCCATACCCCAGAGCATATAATGTTGACATTTTAGAACATGGCTCTGTGCTCTGCTCTCTTCGTTCAATTGCCCTTGGGCTGTAACTCCATCTTTCTAACAGCACACTTCACCCAGGCATAGACTTTTTCAGAGAATCATTCTACTCTTGTTAGCTTACATCATTTCTTACTCCTTCCCTCTTGGATCTGAAGTAAACCTGATATGATCATCTTTCTTGCAACAGTGTCTTGACGCCAAATTTATACAATGAATAATCAGCAAGCTGAGGTGTGTAGGGGTGAATTGGCCTGATGTCTGCAGTTACAGTTTCTATGAAACACATAAAAAATCCTCCATCTTCTCCATTCTACTGCCACCTTCCCTTTTAGATGCTTCCCATCCACCCCTGAAGCACTACAATAGTCTCTTGCTGAGAAGTAGGGCTCATGTTTTCCTACAGATGGTGCCAGAATACTTTTGGTGTATTGCTTTCATCATACTCCTCTTGAATTGATGCTCATGGTGTTCTATAGAATCTAGATCCAACTCTAGTGTGGCTCTGAGCCATCTACAACCCACATTCTAACTATGCACAAGAAATTTTCTTAATAGAAAATTTTGTATTGAGTTCTAATAAGGTAAAATTTTCCTGGAAAATTACCATTTGAATATATGTGATACAATTGTTCTTCACAAACTGTTTTTATAAAATGCCTTGAGACTCGGAGTGCTGCACTGGCGTTCAGGAAGTCTCATTGGAAGTGAAGGTCAAGGTCCCACCGATGCCCAGGCACTATTGTTCAACTGTTCTCTAAACTCACGAGCCTCAAATGCTGAACAACTTCACTTACTTTTTCAAAGGCAGGGAAATAGCGATTTGTTGTTCTCTCTTTGATCAAGGCAACCTTGGCATCTTTTTGGTCAGGCGGAGTTAAGGGCAGAAGCAGGATCATTTCATTCAGATCTGTCATACCTTCTATGTACATATCAATCCTGAAAGACAAAAGCTGTCAAATGTCTCCTGCCATATATATATGTCTAAAATTGTGGTATTATACATGACCAAATTGAGGTACAAGAAGCATTGGTGACCATCCAGAGTAGGAATCATGAGAGAAGTTGGTGAATCCATCGATACTATTCTAGAATTTGCAAACTCTCGTGTTGTGCATTCTATGCATAAACCTGGTGTGATGCAAACAGCCAAAGACCTGCCCTCTAAGTCAATCTCAGAGAGACCCTGGTACAACCACTCAGTTATGTCTCTCTTTCTTTCTCATCACTTTACACCTCCCACTTACTCTATGCCCAATATTAGCAGTTCTTCCTGTTATTTTTTATAAAACACTTCCACAACCCTGTCCTTGTGCTCTTGTCCACCTCTAGCCATGTTTGCATTTTTCAAGACCCCACCTAAAATAGCCCCTTCTTGGTGCCCTTTCTTACAGTTAAAACCACTGTATATTATAGGACACCATTTGTTCCTTTTGTGTTAAACTAGGTTTCCCATGGTACTTTTTAAAAGGACAGCATCACTGACCTATAGTCACATATCATAAAAGCTAATCTTTTAAGATATACTATTCAGTTTTTAATATAGTCAAAAAATCTGCAAATATTGTCACTCTCTAATTCTAGAACATTTTTTTATCACCCTGTTAAGGAAATCTGTACCCACTGGTAACCTTTTGTGTATTCTATGCATAAACCTGGTGTGATGCAAATAGTCAAGGACCTGCCCCCTAAGTCAATCTCAGAGAGACCCTGGTACAGCCACTCAGTTATTTCTCTCCTCCTTTCTCATCACTTTACATGTCCCGCTTACCCTATGCCCAATATTAGCAGTTCTCCCTGAGACTACAAGCTCATGCCACTACACCCAGCCAATCATTTTGTTTATTGTCTGTTTGTTTATTTATGTAGAGACGAGGTCTTGCTATGTTGCCCAGGTTGGTTTCAAACTTCGGGGCTCAAACAATCCTCTCACCTCAGTCTCCAAAGTTTTGGGGTTGCAGACATGAGCCAGTGAGTCCGGTAAATACAAGAGCTTATTTTGAGTCATGTAGTCCCAGCACTATAGGAGGAGACCTCAGAGCATTGGTGGTATTCAATACATCTGGTTATTTTATCAAAATGTCAAAATAACTCCAGCATCCTGGGCACCAGCCTCTTCTACCCCTTTTCAAGAGGGCCGGTTCATATAACTGTCTGGCACCAGAGGTTCCTGGTCATCATTCTTGGGGTTACTGGAACTTTGGATTCAGCTCCCTCGGATCCTTCTCTCCCCAGCCTTCTGCTCCAGATACTCAGATACTGTGTCCCTTGTCCCTAGCCATTGGACTCCACCCTCTGAGGGCCTGAGTACCTGGAGTCATTAGTCTATCATCCTCATGAATTTGATTATCAGTGTTTGGAAAAGTTTTTCCTGGTGTTGTATTCATGGTCTGCATCTCCCCTAGAATTAAACTTGCCTGAAGTTCCACGTTACTCTTCCATCATACCTATAGGACTCTGCAGCATTAAACCTCAGTGTACCAACCCAAGGCCCAGCCTACAACTGGTCTTTATCCCCCTGTCATGGTCCTGTCCTCAAGGCTTATTTGTTGATATCAGAACAGAAAATACACCGTACAAGGCTCTCTCCTTGACGTCCTTCCCATAGAGGTTGTACTTGCTGGCAATGTAGTTGAGGATGGCTCTGGTCTGTACCAGCTTCATCCCATCAATCTCAACCATGGGTACTTGCTGGAACATCAAACTCCCATCTTGAGGAAGAAGAAAAGGAAAAGGAGAGTAGAATGTCTACGAGTTCCACTCTTTCAGGGGGGAGAATTATTGATATGACTAAAGATAAAAAAAAAAAGGATTCCTTGCTGGTAAACTTTCAATTGGAATAGCATTTTCTTTAAAAAATTTCAGCCTACTGTCTTCTTTGCTTGTCTTATTCAATTTGCTTTAACTTTTTAGCTTGTTTCATTCATGATTTTACTTCCCATCCAGATATATAGTGAGTCTCTTTTATTTTTGTGTTGATGCCATTTACAATGAGAAGTTACTAGAGTAAGTCTCTGGGTGTTGGTGACATTTAAGGTGGGACATTTAGTTCGGAGAGTATTAGGGGTCCTTTCCACTTCAAAGCCTACAATATTGCTTCAATATTACCTTGTCACACAACCCATACATGAGAAAGCCCAAGATAATGGCCACATCTATCTGCTCCTTTTGTCTAATGTGTGTCCTTGGATGGGGAGGACCATTAAGATATTGAGCTGACCTCAGCTCACTCATGGTGTAGAAAACATGTGAGAGCAGGGAGGGGGTACTCCTCAGGTGCTGGAGATGGTTTTTTCAGCAAATAATGAAAGAAGTCTTTGTAGGCACAAGGGAGTTACTGGACTTGTTCAAGGAACCCTACCCCTTCTAATCCAACCACGTTTTCTGTCTCCACTACTCTCAACTGCCATCTATACACATAGGTATTGACTGCTGTCAAATCCTTCACTTTCTACAAGATTCCCTTATGAGATGCATTTAGATACTTAACCTTACCATTTCTTAACCTGTCCAAATCTTCTGCAGATTCTAGAAATTTCTCTTCAAACTGGAAATAGAACAGTAAAAGGATTCACGTTAGTTTACTACGTAGCATTACAAACTACATTATTACTACATACTTGATTGGCCCCTGTTTGGCACATCATATGAAATAGGAAGGATTACTAAGTTTGGCCAGGTACACAGAGGAGTCTGGTCAGGGCCATTTGGAATTTGAGACTAGATTCATCGGGAAATGGGTCTGGGTCACAGGACATCGTTGTCCATTCTAGTAGATTCACTTTACTTGCTCCCTGGCCCCATTAATGTCCTTGGTTAGGTCATGATTTTGGAGAGGGATGTCACTTGAGAGAAAGGACCAAGGTGTTTTTCTAGTTATGAAATTTTAGTATCTCAGGAAGGCCTGTGTTTCCAAGTGAGATCAGACCACAACCATATGTGTTCCCACCATGGAGTATATGCCAATATCCACCTAGGATTCTGTCACCAAGGCTTCTGGTATTATTTCCCTCACTCCATTCCATGTTATACTTTAAAGGAAGTTCTTAATCATGAAAAGATTAGGGGATAGTAGGTTTCTAACTTGCTTGGTGGAACAGAGTTTGTTACTGATTTCCATGATTCCATTGGGTGAGGCTATATAGATAGTGAGGTGTGTGTTCCAACAATTATAAAGTTTCCAGTTGAAGAAACACATAAGGTATGGTTGGTGGTTATCACAGCAAGGTGATCGGGGTACCATGGGGTTGGCAAGTGTGATGTTTCTTATGAGGCTGATGGATTGGATTGTAGAGAACGATCTTTGGGCACTAAGGACACAGAAGCCCTGAACAATGTTCTCCAGTCAGCCCTTGATCTTGACTCCTGTAGTTAATCTGGGATGGAAACAAGGGTGCCTGGGGTGCTCTATACTCCACCCCTACCTCACTTCCTGTACTGAACTCTTCATTCCAGGGGTCTGAATCTTTCCCTGAACTGCAAAGTTGAAGTTTGGACAACAATAGTCACAGGTTATTCATTTCTAGAAAGACAACAACCTGAATTGGCTTTTGTTGGATTTTTGTACGCTCATTTCTTCATCAAATTGAGAAAGAATCAGGCTAATTCCAATGTTTTCATGAAGCAAAGGAAGAACTATAATACCAAAGTGAAGGTCACCATGTTGCTATGAGACCAAAGGGCACACCCTTCAGGAAAACCCTCACCACAGGTGTTGAGTGCCTCTGGTCTGCACTGGTAAATGTTTTTCTAGTAATATCTCTGAGAGCAGCACTCAACAGAGCCATCCAGAACCCTCTTGTCTAAACACAGGAATAATGGGCTTGTAAGATTGGGAAACGCTATGGGTTAGACTAGGGGTTCCTGACCCTCATTTTAATCACCTGTTAACTTTTCTGCATCCTTACAGAGATGTGAGGTCAGGGACTGTATCTTGTTCACTGTCTACCCCTTGGACCTAGCACAGAGCCTGACACTTATTAGGGGCTGAAAAAATAATCACTGAAAGAATGCATTCAGTCTCAACATGCAGGTAGTTACTGACTTTTGCCTCTTAATTGTAGTTTGTATTTAAATTTAATTGCATTCATGTTCTACTATTATATGCTTTGCTCCTTTCATTTTGGAAATATGTAACACTATAAACTAAACAGAAAAGTATAATCTTCTCCTGGACCCCTCACCTAGCTTCAACAGTTACCAACCCAAGCCATTGTTGTCTCTTCTCTACGCCCACCCACCCGCCCCGTGTCATAATTTGAACAAAATTCAGATACCATATATTTCATCCTTAAATATTTCAATGTGTTTTCCTAAAACATAAAAATTATTTTATAATAGTAGCAGTACATTATGATACCTAAAACATTAACCATAATTCATCAGTCATCAAATATTCAACCAGTGTTCATGTTTTTATTGTTCTATATACACCATAAATTATTTCTTATAGTTTGTTTGCCAATATACTTATTAATTTATGTTTAGTTTGTTAAATTTATTTTAAGGCTTATTCATTTTTATGTGAAGAAAATTTAATCATGTATTATTTCATCTCTTTTTTGATAACTGGCAATATTTATTTAAGGCACAACTCTTGACAAGGCATTCAGTAAGAAACATCTCATGGTTGATGTGAGGAAAGTAACTGATACAGTGAATTTTAGATCCAACACAGGATGACAGGACTCACAACCTACCTCCACTCCAGCTGCAGCCAAGAGCCACCGGATGGACTCCATCCTGCCACGTCCATTGAAGTAGTGAAGCTTGGGCTTCCCCGCCATGATAGCAGTCTCCTGGTTTCCCTAAGCAAGAATGAATCAGTGAATAGATGGATGAGGCAAAAATGTACTTGGGATGTATGTTTGAACACCACTGACACTGAAGAAGCATCTGGCTTTTTCATGACAGGGTAGCAGGAGTTCCTAGAATGTTATTTTGGCCCAAATTGTCACCAAGCATCGGCCACACTCACATTGCGCCACACCACTCTCAAGTCCCCATTGGGTCACAAGTAACTATTCTTGGCAGGATAATAAGTAAGAGCATGTGGTCACAATGCATGTATAGGAGTTAGTGGGAAGAGGAAGAATTAGAAAACTAGTATTTATTGAAAACCTCCCAATGTTCCTTCTCCAATGCTAGTCCCCTTCAATAAGTTATGTCTTTAATCCTAATAACAGCCCCATGAAACAGTTATTATCTTCATTCCCCATTAATGAAAGTGAATTTCAGAGAGGTTAAATGCCGTGTCCACAGTCACACTCCTGTTCTTGAGAGGCATGAAAACCCACACCCAGGGCTAAACAGAAGGCAGACCTGGAACCCACACAGGTGAAGGCCCTGGGAACCCGTGAGGTGGCCTTGAAATCAGAGGATGTCAGTGACAGGGAGGACGTGGAGAAGGCATAGTCCCTCTTCAGCTCTTAGACAGTTCGTCTCTATTTAATCAAAAGCAGAGATTAGGCCTCAGACTTACTTAGCTATCACTCAAAAGACCCAAATTATTTCCACAGACAGAGAGTCTAATTCCTTGCTTATGTGAGAATTCTGTATTCTACCTCTATTGTGGTCATTTTGTTTTATCTCCTAGAAGAAGAGATGTTGCATTAACATCTCCTAACATGCGTTAACAGACTCTGGAAGGAGCTAACACTTCTTCATTGTCAGTCACACTTTGGACCTTCTCACAAATCTGTCTCCATTTTATCTTAAAAACATCACTCAGGTGAATTCTACTATAAGTCTGATTTTTACAGTTCAAGCTACTGAGGGCTTTGGTGTGACTTGCCCAAAGGTAAGTAGTGGATCTGTGATTCAAACCCACCGCTGTTGAAAAATAAAGTCTGGCCATGCACAGAGGCTCTTGCCTGTAGTCCCAGTACTTTGGGAGACTGAGGTGGTAGATCGCTTGAGCCCAGAAGTTGAAAGCTGCAGGGAGCTACGACCCCACCATTGCACTCCAGTCTGTGCAACAGAGAGAGACCTTGTCCCAAAAATAAATAAATAAAATCTGGATTTATTTTCGTTTGTGTTTTTTCAAAACATGAATGGCAGTCCTTCAGTGGATTGTAAAATCTATACATTTTAAAGAAGAAAATTGAAAAGATTGGAGTGCATTGAATGTGGAAAGGATAAGTAATGTCATCTGAGTTTTTAGAGTCAATTCTGTGTGTGTCGTGTGTGTGGTTGTGTGTACATGCACACGCACATTTTGTCCCTGAGAATGGCAAAAGATACACTGATTGGATCTAGGCAAGGACGTTGGTAGCCCTTTCTCTATCCCAGGCTGCCTGGGAAGTAGAACATGGCAGAGAACCAGAGAATGAAAATCAGTGGCTTTAGGGACAGGCACAACAAATTGTATCATGAGTGTGAATGATAGAGAGGGATGTTTGCATTTTCTCTCCAAGTCCTAACTTGTTATAAAACATTAAGATTTTACTTGCAAAGTTTTGTGATCGTTGAGTTTGAAACAAAATATACTTGTCTTTACCAACGGATGTATGTCTAGCAACTTCAGTTTGAATTGAGTTTTAGGCATCAAAATGTTGTAAATATCCACATTTTAAAATGTGGAACTCAATAGTCTACTATCTAGAAAGTAAGGAATTCTTTAAAAACATACCTAAGCAACTCACCCTGTCTTGTAATTGGATATTTTGCATATTGTACTTTCTTATCATAGGAAATTAGTAGCATGATTCAGCGGAATGGGAAATTAGAAGAATGATTCAGAGAAGCCCAAGGAGCGTGTTTGCTTAATCATTATGGATTGGAGTTCACTGTCAAGTGGTCCAAATCCTTACACAATGCTCCATTGACCATTGGCTGAGGATCATGTTACACAGGGAAATGAATTTCTATGTTACATAATATTTTATCAGAACACTCCTGCTTTTAAGTGACTTTCATCACCCTCTCAAAAGATCAGGCCAAAGCTGGACAAAAGTGCCTATAGAGCTCTGCTGGGTCAACAGAAAATGAGAACCAGAGATCCTCAATGATTTGCCAGGTGTCACACACATGTTAGTTCTCATCTGTGGTCAGTATCTCATTAGTGAATCCACTTGCTAGACCATCCCTGAGAAATAGCTCTGAATATCCTACTTAAGATGGCACACTGCAGTTCAGAGAGATAGAGCAACTTACCCATGCCTGCACACTTGTTAATTGTTGGTAACTCTGACCTCCCTCTCACTGCAGGTCAAGAGATTTTCCACTCTACCAGGGAACACGACACCCTCTCTTCCTATATCAGAGGACCTGTTTTATATCTTGCCATTCAGATTCCATTAGCCTACTAAAGGTTGAAAGGGAGGGAGAGAAAGGAACACTGGATTCAGTTCCTTTCTTTTAGCAGTTTATCAAGGGCTCAATTAGTCTAAGAAATAATTAATAACAATGTACCTAGCTTCACCTAGAATGCCTAAAAAACTGCGTGAGTGGAAGGCTAGTATAACCACATTTTGCTCAGTAAGAATGAACTTGTTTTGAAAGGAACATAAACTATGATAATTCTAGTAGCAAATTACAAGAGTAATGTCTCCAGGGTGGTCCCAATTACAGCATTTCTTATAAGAGAGAAGGCAGACAGTGATAAATCACAACTCCTTCCATTATGAGGTACATGAACTTAGTAAGTTGTTCAACCTCTGAGCCTCAATCTTCTCTTCTGACAATAGAGATAGCAGTAACTTCTTCTACAGGCTGTTGAGAAATGAGATGGTGTACATAAAATTCATACGACACTCAGCAATAAGATCCAGTCTTGGAAAACAGATGAGTCTCTAAACATATTTGATAGCACAAGTCCTCTTTCTGTCATCTCTCTCTCTCTCTATCTATCAGTTATTTTATTTTAGCCTATCAATTATTCTATGTAAGGCTGGACAGGGTGCCTCACGCCTGTAATCTCGGCTCTTTGGGAGGCCAAAGCAGGAGGAAAGGTCAAATTCAGGAGTTACAGGCTAGCCTAAGCAATTATAGCAAGTCCTTGTCTCTACAAAAAAAAAAAAAAAAAAAATCAAGTAATTAGCGGGGTTTGGTGGCATGCAATTGTAGTTCCAACTATTTGGGAGACTGAGGCGGGAGGGTCGCCTAAAGCCAGGAGGTCAAGGCTGCGGTGAGCCATGATCATGCCACTGCACTCCAACATGGGCAACAGAGTGAGACATCAACTAAAAAAAATTTTTAAACATTTTTATACACATATGTACCTGTTTATATGATCAAGTTGCTTGACGAGAATGAATAGTACAAACAAGTTAAATAATGAAATCATGATAATTGATCAGCCAATCCTGATTATCAGACTCAATTTTTAAACAGAATCATTAAAGAAGTGAGCCTGTCTCCAGAATGACGAAGAAAGAGAAATTTGGAAACAGCAGAATATTCAGGCAAATGTTTTAACTGGGCTAAGGTCAAGGATTAACACATACTGATTGAACAGGGAATAGGAAAATTCCCTGGAAGGACATTATTCTTCTTCATTTTGTTCAGGGCATGGATCCAAGTTTTGCTCTATAAAACTAAATGTTCTACAGACTTAGATTCACTTCCAACATCCAGACAGTTGCTGAGAAAATTCTGCCTACCTTTAGAAGGATCCTGATCTTAAAGAAACATCGAAACACCAAAGGCATCAACACTTGGCAACAAATCACAAAGCATGTCTTACAAAGGCAAGTGCTCATGTGAGTGCATTGGCCATCAAGTGGTCAATTAGAACTGTGTTTGGCTGGTATTGGTGGCTCTTTTCTCAGCAGGAGATGGAGGTTTGGGAAGCAGCTGGAGACATGAAACTCTCCAGATGCATGTTCCATTCACTGGTCATTTGGGAATCCCAAATCTGAGATCTTGCCAAACCAAGGTCACAATTGTGTACACTACTTTTATGGAGAAATCAACTTGAGCATAAACTACATTTCCTCTGACACTGGCTATCTGCTCAGATTTTTTTAAATGGCACCATCTCTTTTTTCACCACATGTGATTAATTTTTCTTACATCATTAAATTCTCATGCCCAAGTTTTCTAAATTCTTCTTTCTTCATTTCTGTAATACTTAAGAAAATTGTCAGAATGAAAATTGAAACACTTAAGAACAGCCTGACAAATAGAGCTGGGAATGGCCATGAAGAGCGGCTTCTCACACTTTTATGTTTGATAACAACAACAAAGAGAATTACACAAAAAAACAGAACCTTTCTCAAAGGCCACTGCAACATTGCGCTAAAGATACTTCTGCAAGGACATCTGCCCAGCAACTGCCCATGTAACCTTCCACTGTTACTGATGTTTGTGGCTAGGGATAATTCTTTCCACACCGTTATGCACTCCTCATTTTTTCCCTTGAAAGTCCTTGTCATCCTTAACCTCCCAAAATGTATACAGGGTTTACAATGACATACTTATTCACATTACAATACTTTATTCCAAGTAAGTATCTTTTCAAGAGTCTCCTGTGTTTATTATTAAACTTCACACGATGTATCCAAAAGCAGCCGATACACTCAAGCACACAAAGAAGGCACAGTAGGAGCATAAAACAGAATTTTTCTTGCTCTGAGGACACATTTTAAAGTACTTTTCTGGCGACCTAGAAGGGATAGTGTGACGCATGTGGAAGATGTATAAGATCAGTACTTACCTTGTTGAAGCTGCCACCCTTCTGGCTCAACTACTCAATACCAGGTCCTGATGTGTTTATAAGGTGCCTGTTCATTCCAACAGTTTCCTCCCACTGACAAGGGTGGAGTCATGTTAAGGGAAGGCCCCTCCCACAGGTTTTAGTGTTCCT